TTACATACCTATTTACACAATTCTGTGCTCTCGTTCCCTGCAATGTTGCCTAAGGATGTGTCACTTCAAATGGATTTAGGGAAGCGTGATCACTTTCATCACCAGTTTCTGATGCCGCATGTAGGACATCTGGTTGAAGGCTTCTTACTTTAATTTAGCCCATCTTTCCACCACGCTCGTCAATTAGCCCCTGGTTCACATGAGAATCATTGTGGCTGTGAAATCTGGCTGCCTTTGAGTCTTCAAATCCAGTCTCAATTTACCTCAGATGATGCCGATATCTTGGCATCTTCCTCTTCTAAGGCCTCAGACTATAACCCAATTGACCTTTGTCATTCCCACCCTATTGTATCTCATTCTTAGGGGCCTTGTGTAGAGCTTAATTCAAAAGCAGTGATGCGAAAATGTACCGCTTCCCTTTTCCAATACTGAATTATGTAAAACACATTTCCCTTGTATTTAAAGTTGACTGTTTAATGTGTACGTTGGTTGGTATCCCCCTTAGTCGGGCATGCCACCAGTAAACTATCTTTAAGGCATATTTACAAAAATGCATATCAGCCCACACACACGCATACTGGGGCCTAACTGATAATGTGTACCCTATGTTAGTTTCCTCACCCTGATGAATTTGTACGGACCCATATCATTAGTCTAGCTACTCTAATGACATATGAGCTGGCCTATAATTTGTTATTCCCTATCCCACAGCTGGACCCACGCTAGTCACAGATTGATTCCAGACTCTCGCTGCAATCGCCTTGTCTTTCTTTCCTTTTGTCCCTCATGATCCTATTCCTGGCGATGTCTCTTCCTGTTATTAAATAGTTGTCCTTGATCCAAGCCTATGATACTTCAAGTTTGACAGTGCAAGGAAAAGTATGATTGGGGTTGCACAATCTATTACGTCTTTTTTGGCTGATGAGCTTAATCTAACATGTTGGCCGAGTGTGAATGAAGTTAGAACCATCACTGAATGGACAAGTAGAGTCGTCTTCTTGCTGGCGGTTTAACACCCTATTTCCTTCTATTAATTAAGCATAAGTAGTTACTCAAATTTCTATCATCGTTATTCACAATTTATATAGACTCACTTATCTTCCTTTTAACTGCAGACGTATCATAATCAGCAAACTTACTCGTTTTAGACAATTCCATTTCATGTCCAATCTCTGCCATGTGTTCGGCCACTTGTAACCATTGGACCCAGCTGTCTTTGCAAGCATTTTTGTCTTTACCGTATAGGTCGACATGTCTCACAAGGTCGACCACAGGAGCACGCAATCTTGTAGCAGCCGGATCCCGATAATGAATATTATTTCTCTCTAAAAGGTGTAATAACCGAAAAAAGTGTCATGTCTTTTAAATATTTTTATCCCTCATTTTCTCACTAGTTCGCCGATCTTTTTAGAACGAATGTATTACGGCAAAATTAGTGCATGAGAAAAGGTCTCCGTTTGTTTATCTCTGACTAAATAGTTTGTCTTAAATTTATTCCTTAATAAATAGACTTTATTTACAATTAGCATATTACGACGTAAATATCCAGAAAATGTAGTGAGAATACAAATTTACTTTTGAGAGATTTTTTGGTCAAAATTAGGAATTACTTCCAACCCAATACTATTGTTTACCTCCTCAGGCAATCTATCAGATTAGCTAATTAATTCAACTTGTCCAGAGAATGGTTTACTTTCATTTTGAAGAGCAAAATTCAATGATCTTTTCAACCACACCATTCTCCATAGTTGTATTGAAAACTCTCAAGCTAAATAGCATGACCAATATGAAAGATAATTATACAAACCATTCTATATCTATCCATGCCTATTCATTTTCATATTTTGGTTACGAGTTTATATAAGGGATAAGACAGAGCCCACTAGTCGTCTTGACCTAGTGTTAACGTCTGACTCTTACAATAATGAGCTACAGCTCTGATCGTCTCCATCATATGATGGACGAAAACTCAGACTGTTTTCACTCGAAACGAGTGAGGATGTCTCTTAGACTGCATAGACTTGAACGTTACATTACTTTCAAAGGGCTACAGTGTAACGGGAATCAGCTGGACTCGATCTTCAAATATCTTCTTTATATACTTCCATACGTAATGAAAGTCTCCTCAACTATATTATTTCTAAAGGTTAATCGAAACCCACTTACTCTTCGTATCTAGAATATTTTTTGAATGAAAGTTTTACTTCCCCCTAAACTTTTCATGATAGAGTTATTTTAATAATGTGGGCTCTAAATATTCTCGTAAGTATCCTTCAATTGCATCCTTATAATTTATTAAATTGTAACTGATAAAATGTGTCTCTGGTCTGAGGATGTCACTTCTCGATGCCGGCGAAACGTTTGAGACCGTACCATGTCAATGACCCGATACTGGAAATTATCATGACCAAGTGGCGAATACGAGGGGAGGCCAACAATTATAATTTATTATTCAGTATTTTCAAATTACATAGAGATACATCATATTTCGGATTGAGCGCTTTGTCCTAGCTCACAAATTTTTTTTTCTTCCAATATTTCAAAGTTACTATTTCAGAAAAAAACATTTACTGTTAGGAATCACATTGCTAGGAGGCTAAATAGGACTGAGTAGCTGTCCTTGAACGTATTTTCGTATCATTTTATACTTTTGTCTGAGCTTATTTTTAGCCATACATAGTGATTCACAATCTTTATTTTATTACTAATGCTTATTTTGCCACTTTTTACTTCTTTTTTTTCTATCAGACTAAACTATTTGACGCTAATCATTCTTCTGTGGTTGCTGAATACGTTGCCACTTCTCGATCCAATCTAATTGCACCTAAAACTGATCTGCTTGACTCGGACCTACAGACCTCTTCATTTAAGTCATTACAGTTAACTGCCGATTTAACCCATGAATCAGCTGACAAAGGCCTTGCAGAGGATGTTCAGCCTATTTTGTCTCCTGCAGCCGGTTCTAGAAGTTGTTGCCAATCCAGGTGTGCTGCGCACCATCATTGTCGTGAAGCTTGCACACAGTGGATTGATGGCCTTCGAATCTCCTCTTCCTGCATCTGCCCTATTGCTTGCTTCATTGGGAAGAAAGGGCAGCTGACGACTCAACCGCCATCTCAGTTGTCGCCACCTATTACTGCTGATCCATGCAGGCAGCGGGGAATCTGGCTGTTTGGTAGGCCTGCCTCTGAACATCAGGCGGCTTTGGTTGTTCATAGACTTCAGCAGGCCGGCTTTATGGTGATCCAATGGGACCAGCTAGCTTCGATGAGGCGTAGTAGGCCTAGACTATTTGAGCGCAAGTCTTTCTTTACATCAGATTCACTCATCTCTTCTACAGCCTTCTCCTCCTCTTCTTCTTCATTTTCCTCTTGCTCCTCTGCTTCGGATCCAAGCTTTAGACTTCAGACTAGTTCTCTTTGTCTGCCGTCTTATCACCTCGGCAAAATAGATCAAAGAATTCATTCGGCTAAAAATAAGTCGTTGACATTTTCAGAACCTGCCTTGATAGGCCTTCGATTTAGTGATGAAGGTAGTTTGTCTCTAAAAGGTGAGGAAAACTTAACCAAAAATCCTAATCTTTCTCATTCGCATTTCGAACGGTTTGTGACCTTGCGAACTGAGGATGAATTTCGACAATCTTCTAGTCGAGATGATAAGGGTCTTGGTGAAGTGGAGGGGAAAGTTAAGGATGAAAATGATGGATATGAAGATGATTCCTATGTAAAAATATACGGAAAATCTTACAAACACAATGCAATTCGCCTGTATGATCTTAAAGGATCAATTATGCCTCTTAATGAATCTCGGGCTCACCCTCACAGCTGTCTTTCGGCCGCCTCAACTTCCAAGCAATCAGCACCCCAATCAGAGATTTTTAGTGGCTCCTGCTCCCAGCTTGTGATCTTCTTTATTTCGTCAGCCTCGTTCGCGTTAAAATCTCAACTCATGGTACGTCCATTCGATATTCCTTTGGAATTACTTATTGTTTTTTATTGCTATGTAACCTTTCTTTCATATCTCTGTTATCTTCATATCATCTTTTCTCTCCCACTAGCATCTAAATAGATTTGTGTGAGTTATTCGTACTCTAACAGCTACTTTGCAATTTATGTTGATCTGAGAGCATCGTAAGCAGAACGGGTTGTGACATTCCCGTGTGTAAAACATTGAGAACCGCATCTTAGTTAATTAGCAATTATTTTGATTAAGCAGTTCCAAAAATTCATTGTACATTATTAACCATTATATCAATAAATCGTCCACATAGGCTCTCGTTAAACTTTATTTGATCTCTGATGTCTAATGGTAGCAAATATCTTTCTTACATAGTTATAATCTTATCATTAAGAGTAAACCTTCACATCTAGTTGATTGTCATTCCAGATACTTAAATTTGATTCGGCCATGGTTATTCGAAGAGTAATGATGATTTTGTTATTAATTCCACTTTTACAATTACCTTAAAAATTCGTTATCATCAAATAATCATCTCATTCTTTATCCTGATCATCTATTTGATAATCCCCATTCCTTGCTTGCTATTATTGGACAAAAAACGAACATCGAGCAGCTTTCTTATGTAAAGACTAAATTCTTATTTATCGCCTTGCTCTTTTTGAATCTATAATGCTAACTCTCATTTTAGAAAAAAATGTACGAAGGTAACGACAAAACATGAGAAAAGTTCTTCTTATCTCTCCTTACGTATTCACCATTCAAAAAGCTGTTATTTATTAATCTAATGTTATTTTCAATCAAGCTTAGGAGATAGTTATTCTCAAGGAAAATTATTTTAAGCCGATTTAGTTCATTGTCACAATGGTCTATATCGGCTAG